TTGCTTAGAAATGGCTTCCTCTTTGCACTGTAGAGTTTCAGCTGGCAACGGCGGATGGCACGGTGGATTGTGTTCACTGACGATGCTTTCTGGAAGTATTCCTGAGCCCATTCTGTTATTTCCTTGACAGTGGCATTCCTGTTTGAGGTGCAGTGACGTTTAAGGGCCCGGAGATCACAAGCATCCAGTAGAGTTTTACAGGCTTGACCCTTACGCACAGTGATTGTTCCAGATTCTCTGAATCTTTCGATGATGTTATGCACGGTTGATGATGATAACTTAAAAGTCTTTGCTATTTTACGCTGGGTAACACCATTCTGGTATTGCTGCACTATCTTTCTGTGCAACAATGGTGGAATTGGTGATCCTCTTACCATCTTGGCTTCTGAGAGACACTGACACTCTGAGAAGCTCTTTTTATATCCAATCATGTTGTCAATTGACCTAATTAGTGTTAATTGGTCTTCCAGCTGTTCGTTATATGCTCAATTTCCTTTTTCCAGCCACTTATTGCTACTTGTCCTAACTTTTTTGGGATTTGTTGACACTGTGAAATTTTGAATCAACATATTTTTCCTTTAAAATGTTACATTTACTCAGATTAAACTTTTGATCTGTCATCTATGTTATATTACGAATTAAAATATTGACATTTGCCATCTCCACATCATTGCATTCAGTTTTTATTTACAATTTGTTCAGTGTCCCAACTTTTTTGGAATCCGGTTTGTATTTACAACATGTAATTGTGAATAAATACTGAAATTCCTGCAAATGATGTGCACTGTTTTTTCTCGCACATCAATTTCAAAGTGCCCTTTATATTGATTTAACGCAATTTATTCTTGTATTTTTAATATTCAGTCACATTTTAGTTTCACAGGGTGTCAAACCCTTACTGTTACCACTCGCTTTGGGTGCAAGAGGTTCCATGTTCATATCCTGGATGAGCCCCCGTTAATGTTACCTCCCCTTCTCCTGGCTGAGCCAGACTGTAACACTTACAACGTTGTATCACATTTTGTGCACTTTCTGAATCACTGGAACTAAACTGTGATATGTTGCAGATGCTGTGTTGATTGTGACCATTATGAAAAAAGTTTGTATTTCAGATTTTCCTAAAAAGTTCAAAGTCCAACAAAAAGAGGAAACTGAGAGCCCCGATGAACATTTTGAAACAAGCTCTCACAAATGTTTACATTTTGGCACCAGCAGTTATATTCCAGGGACATAAGAGCTTTTTGGGGGTCAACAGTTTTTTTTTTTTTTTTTTTAACAGAAATTAGATTCCGGCTCCTTAATGGAAGTGAAGCCTTTCTGTTATTTGTACACCCATAAGAGGATCTGTTTAGACCATTTCTGAGCTGATCTGCTCCTCCTGTCCACATTACGGTTTCTGTCCTGAAACCCAGTCCACAAGAGATCATCATGAATGAATCTGGGTTAGCTCTATTCTGCCCAGCTTCAACACGGCTGGAGGTGAAGGCTTGTGAATTTGTTGGCGTGCTTTTGTACATTTCTGTGTGAAAGCTGCAGCATATATTAATAAAACCACAGCCGCCTACACGCTAAGGCACCAGGACAGAACGAAGGCCGGCCTACGCACATTCATCATTCCCTATGGAACAGCATCCACCTCCTTCCTCTTCCTCTCCCAGCAACCAGCTTGGCATCCCATTGTGGTCACCGTGGAAACAGTGCTCAGTCTGGAAGTGTTTGTTGTAGAGAAAAAGAAAACTTCTCCTCTTCATTGGTCCATTTTCTGTCTGAAAATGAGCCCGACACTTTAACGGCCCACATAGTTGCTCTTTTTCATCCCAAACACACCTGAGTGGGTGAAGACCGCCACTTGTTGCCAGGCAACACACTGAAGTTGAGTTCAACTTTGCAGTGCGGGAAAACGGTGACATTTAACACGAGCAACATGTTGAGCTCCTGCTGTTCTCTCTGCTCACATTTTATCAGCAGAAATCATTTAAAAAAAGGCAAATGCTGCTTTCATTTATTTTAACATCAAAAAATGAATGAACTGAGAGAGCTGAGACTAAACAAATGTGTGTACAAAATTAAGAAGCTGCATGTAAATTAATGGCTACTTATTTTTATTTCACCAAAGTTCATGCTCAAGAATCCAGGTAGAAATCTAACAATGCTCAGTCAGGTCATCTGGACAGATTCTTTTTTAGTTGAGATGTTTCATCCTTAATCCAAAGGACTTCTTCAATCTGAGGAGCCACCAAACACTGATTTCCACAAACTAAGCTAAGATGACCTCTGGGGCCCACCCTCTCCCCCGTCAACTCCTCTGAGACTGTCATGCTGAAACGTCTCAGCAAACAAACAAAGAAACTCTCCAGATGACCTGACTGACCATTGTTGGATTTTTACCTGGATTATTGAGCATAGACTTTGGTGTTTTGAACCACTTTGACATGACTGTCTCAGAGGAGTTGATGGGGGGAGAGGGCGGGCCCTGGAGGCCATCTTGGCACCAACAAACTGTTTTTTCCACTATGGAGTATGCTTTTTCTGGAAATCAGTTTGTTTGGTGTCTCCTCAGATTAAAGAAGTCCTTTGGATGAAGGACGAAATATCTCAGCAAAAAAATGAAAATAAAAAATAGAAACTGTCCAGATGACCTGACTGAACATTGTTGTTATTTTTATTACATTTTATACATTTTTAATTTTCCTGAAGGAATCTTACCAAGGGGGGCAAAACAGTGGCTCAGTTGGTAGAACATTTACCGCTCAGTGAGAAGGTTGCCGGTTCAAATCCTGGCCCGGCCGGGACCCTCCTGGGTGGTGTTTGCATGTTCTCTTCGTGCATGCGTGGGGTTTCTCCGTGTACTCCTGTTTCCTCCCACAGACCAAAAACATGCATGTTAGTCTGATCGGTGAGGTTTGAGTGAGAGAGTGAATGGTTGTTAGTCTCGTTTGTCTCTTTGATGGACTGGAGACCTGTCCAGGGTGTCCCCCGCCCCTCGCACAGTGATTGCTGGACATGGGCACCAGTGACCCACACGACCCAAAATGGAATAAACGGGTAAAGATAATGGATGGATGGATGGGTAGATGAATGGATGGATGGATCTTCCCAAGGGATCGATAAAGATTTATCTAATCTACATTTATCTCTTCACAATGAGTCAATTCTAAATTCTGTTTTGTGTCAGAATCCTGTTGGAGGAGCCAAGTCCTGTA